TATTTGCGAGGATGACGCCACATTTTGTAGGAAGATTAAACAAGACGGGAGACGAAGGATTTTCGAGAAAAAAAATTAGTTCCAAAAGTCACCGCTAGGGAAATATTTTGGCTTTGTGTAATAGAAAATAGAGTGTTAACAAATGCAAATTAATACGGAATAAAATTACCTTTTATTATGGATATGCCTTACAGTACGGTATGGAAAATCTTACGAAAGATTATCAACTTCTATCCGTACAACATCAGCCGTGTACAGGAGTTAATGTACCCCGACCATGAGAAGCGATTGACTTTTGCTCTCACCTTTCTTGCCAGAAGGAGGTGGATGAGCTTGGCCGTGATGGTGATGATCTTATGGGGAGACGAGGCCCACTTTTACCTGAATGGAACTGTGAATACCCAGAATGCCGAACTTGGGATGACAAATCACCACATACAGTCACAGCAATTCCCTTACATTCACCAAAGGTAACTGTTTGGTGTGGGTTCACGGGACGGAATTTATCGTAGGTCCATTCTTCTATGGAACATATACCCGACAGGACCGGAAACCTGTTCTGTTACGGGAGAGAAATATCGCCACATGTTGAACAGCTTTGTCATTCCGGTACTTCAGCAAAGACAAAGCCTGGGGGAAATCATTTTCCTGCAAGATGGAGCCCCTGCACACGTTGCTGTACGGGTGCAACAGATGCTACGACAGAAATTCACAACAGAAAGAGTCAATAGCCGCTACTTTCCAACTGCATGTCCACCTCGGTCGCCTGATCTTACCCCATGTGACTTCTGGCTATGGGGTTACCTTAAGTCCAAGGTCTAGCAAGGAGTGGTCCAGGACCTGGCTACGTTGAAGGATAACATATCACGGACTGTACGTGAGATTCCTGCAGACATGTTACTTTCTGCTGTTGTGCATACTGTGCACAGAATGTAGTATGTGGTCCACAACAACGGCAGCCACATTGAACCTCATTTGAATGCAAAATCTTCCTACAAAATGTGACGTCATTCTCGCAAATAGATCGCGCTACAGAACACTGTGAGCACTGTCAGTTTAATTATTTTAATATTTTTTTTTTCTTAATTTCAGCCGGGTCTGTATTTATGGTTTTCATTCGTCGATTTAGTATAGAACAGCAAATTACCTACAATTCCGTAATTTTGGGCCCTATTTCTAATTTCAGCAAGATCTGCATGTTCAAAATTATCTGGATTCTTTAAATAAGCATAGATATTACTGAATTCAGGGTCCTTTATCAACTCAGAAATGATCGTTTCCCAGGAATCTAAAACTTTAGACGTCAAACTAGCACATTTTACTTGATCACCGTTTTCATCCAGTTTGATTCTTGATAATGCATCGGCCACCGTATTTTCCTTGCCAGGACTATGTTTCATTATTAAGTTGTGCTGTTGTAACTTTAGGGCCTCATGGTCTGGATAGACAGTAACGGATGCTTTTCCGAAATAGACTCCGAACTTTTAAACTGCCATTAACACGGTTAACGTTTCTCGTTCGGTCGCTGTATAAATGCTCTGTGTAGTGTTTAACGTTTTACTAAAAAATGCCAGGGGGTGCTCTTTTTGCATTAAAACTGCACCCACGACGTAATCTGATGCATCAGCCGCAATCTCCAGGTTGTCGTCCCCTTCTGGGAATTTTAACACCGGTGCATTAATTAGAACTGTTTTCAATTGTTCAAACGCCGTGTTTGCCTCCGCTGTCCAAGAAAATTTTTATTTCTTTCGTTTTAACACTAGCAAAGGTTTCACAATGTTGGCAAAATTTTGGATGAAAGAATGGTAATACGAGCACAAGCCAAGAAAAGATGATAGTTTCTTTGCCGTATTTGGCGGAGAATAATTTTTTATTGCTTTTATTTTAGAATCCTCAGTTTGGATATCGCAATTCTTTCGTTGCGAACTTACAATTTAATGCATTCACGGTTAATCCTGCTTTTTTCAATCATGAAAAAACTTCAAAATAATGTCTATAGCGGGTTGAAAAGTTGAGGGGGCCGCGCAAAGTCCAAACGGCATACGTAAAAACGAAAAATGCCTGATTTTGTAATAAACGCTGTTTTGTTATGTCTTCCGGTTTCATGGCTATTTGAAAATAGCCTGATGTAAGATCAAGAGTAGTCATGAATTTCGTAGACTTAATTTTCCTTATTATCTCCTCAATTACCAGTAAAGGGTAAACCGGAAATTTAGTTAAACTGTTCAGTTTTCTACAATCAACGACAAAACGCCAAGATTTTGGGTCTGAGGGGGCCAAATTATTCCTCTTCCTACAGAGCACAATAGGACTCGCATATTCTCTATTTATAGGAGTTATTATCTTATTCTTTAAAATCTCCTGTATATGGTATTCTATTATTGCCTCCTTCTCTTCATCACATCTATAAGGTTTCGCTTTGCAGGGTTCGCTTGATTTTAATTCAATAGAATGAGTTACTATCTGCGTATTCCCTGGCTTTTCAGAAAATAATGAAGAAAATGCACTTACGAGTTCTTCCAGCTTGGCTCTTTCATCTTGGTTTAGATGCTGGAGGTCGACTTCTGGAATGCTTTCAGCTTCCACCACCCTTGGCTCCATATCTAAAATAACTGAATTACTTGAAAAATCAATTCTTTCATTCGCGGCTCTAAGGAATTCTGTTCCTAGAATCATTTTATTCTGTAAATTTTTCACCACTAAAAATAAAGCTTTTAGATGTTCGTCTTTCACCTGTGCATTAAGCAACAGTTTCCCGACGCATTCACAAACTTTCCCTTGAGCGACTATGATTTCTGTCGGACTGTTTTTAAATAGTCTTACTTTTCGAAAATTTTTATAGTAGAAGTTTTGATTTCGAAAATTTCCTTCAGCTCCGGTATCCACGAGTGCTTCCACGGGTACATTGTTCCCCAAAAGAACCTGTATTACCGGTAACTGGGAATTATTGACTACCACGGTATTTACTTCGAGAGATTTTGCGATGCACAGGAGGTCTGTTCCCTCAAATTCTCAGGCCCCTCTATTTGTTTAAAGCCTTCTTTCCACCTGATGTTTTCTGGGTACGCTGGCGGTCTTTGGCTTTATCCTTTTCATTCTTGCTCGTTGACGGCTTAGCCATAAAACGTTTTCCTCCGTTGTATTTATTTCTTTTCGTGGCCAGCTGTCGGGAGAACTGCTGATGATATCCCTGGGTAGGAAATCTTGAATTTTCCGCTATCCGCCGATTCCGGAAGTTTGCTAATTCGAATAATTCTTCCAGCGTTCGTGGATTTCTGAGTTCCACGAAGTCTTGTACCGAGGGTAATAATCTTGGTAATATGATTTCAATGACTTCGCTATTGGGCTTCCTACCGTGCAACATATTAATTAGCTTGACTTTACTTGGGATGAAATCGGTAAAGTGTTCAATTTTCCGTTGGTAAAAACTGTACAGTTCAGCTTCAGCACGATCTTTAACTATCGGGAACGCTTTTAGAAGTGCCGCTTTCAAATTTTCAAAAGTGTAGGTGAAGCCTCCAACTTCTCCAAGTAAGAACTTCCCAATTCCTTTCCACCAAGACTCCGCCTGTTCTCGGAGGGCAATCGAAGCTATACCTATAACCTTCTGTCTTTCGGGTACAGGATTTAACTAAATGTGAGTATCAAGGGCTTCCATAAATGAAGTGACTGAGTTTTTGCCGTTGAACACTACAGCTGGTTTAATTGCCGCCCTCATCGTCTGTATTAAGAAGCCAAATCCATCCAACGGGTTGGTCACCATCGGGTCTGCAACTTCTGAGCCTTATGGGGATGCTTGTTCGTTGTGTTCGTTGGCCATCAGATTCGAGTAGTAGATTCGGGCGCCAGTTCATTAATCTTACTTTTGTGTGAAAACTGGAAGAGTAATAACTGCACAGAAAAGAAGGGTTAAAAGTACCCTTTATTACGCTCTTTAAAATTTACAATGCGTCAACGCGATGCTAACACACTACGCCTCTTCTTGGACGATAACTAAAATCACAGAACGAAACTAAAAATTCGAAGATATGCACAAATAGTAGAAATAAGCTACAGGGCTTAGCTAATTCCTGTTTCTTAAACCCGCGTCGGAACTAGTGGCCCAAAATAAATGCAGTTATGCCACGAAAACTCGCAATAACTCCGGGAGCAGAAGCTTACGCAACAGAGGTGACGGCAATAGCCTAACTATCTCTCTTTTCTACTGAACCTTGGTTTTTAAACTCTTTCTTTAAGGTAGAATTTGCATTCTTCCACGCGCGCTACGAAATTTAAATATTGTGGCATTGATAATTAGAAGAATAAAGGCTTATAGGAAAGAATAACAAATTATAAAATAAATATAAATCCCTACAACGTTTTTCTATATTTTTCAATTTTTAATTAAGATATTTTGGGGTTTTATGTATTTTTGCCTTGACGCGAAGTGAGAACTGAATTTATTAAATGAGAAATCTATCTCTAATGAAATTCGAGGAAATCAGTTCAAATGAAATGCAGCAAAAAATGCGTATATTTTAATATCCCATACAAGGGAGTCGTGATGCCCGCATCAGATTTTTATTTATTAACTTCCAGGATAAGGAATTTTCTCACTTAAGAAAGATTATTCATTTTTAACATAACATTCCATCCCATTAAATTATTTATTACTTCTCACGGAGAGAGAAGGAGTTTTTGACTAAAAAATTCAGGGAGTATCAGATGATATATATTCATCTGGGGCTTTGCTACATATATTCAAATTTTATTACCATGAACGCAAAATTATGAACTCTTGCAGAAACTCGCATCGTAAAGGATTTTAGATGTTTACGATAGCATGTATAATGAACGAAAAAAGGATTAAAAATACCATTTCAATATTAAATCTTGACCGCGTCACTTGTCTCCGAAAATCTTTTTTAGTCACATGAATATGGGGCAATCTGCGATTTATCAACGGATAAAGAGATAAAATGTTGCTTCAGAAACTGACCAATAGTTCATCGGCTTAATGGCGCAACTTACGGATGAAAATTCGACATAATTGAGTGGGATATATTCTGGACTATTCCTATACAGCGCTCAGCTGGAGACTAGTCTAGCTGTTATCATTTGAGAGAAAACCAAAGAATCTTCTTTAACGAAACTACAGAAAATATGGTAAGTTCTCAAAAGTTTAGCAGTTTTTTCAAATTAAAAACTTTCGTACATAATTACAGTACCTTTTATATGTTCTTAACAGCAGATATTTTCTTAGTAAAAATTCATAATTTTTAATATTTATCTGTAGTTCCCGGAAGAAGCTTTTAAAATTTAATTTGGGTCGCATAATTTAATTTAATTACATTTATAATTAAATTTACTCCTAGTTAAAATTTTAATAAATATTCAGGATCCTAATTAAATTTCAAGGAAATTTTTTTCAAACTAGAATTCCATGTTAGAAGATACCTATAACTACCTATTTATACTTTCATAAATGTTATAATTGAATAGAACTTCGTTAGTAATCACCTTTAAATATTTTTTATCTTTAAATATATTTTGAGACATATATTTTAAATTTAAGTTGTAATATTTTATAAATCTTAATTCGTTTTAAATAAAAATCGCGTACTCTTACAAATGCTGTAAATGTAAAAATTTTAGCTATGTAATAGTTTATAGTTCATAATTCCTATATAAATGCTAGTTGAATTCATTGTTAATGGGATTTTTTTTTTCTTTTTTTTTAGACTACATATACCGACAAAGGTCCGAAGGTAAGATTGTTACATTTATAGTTTCTTATATATAACCTATCATTCTTATATAATTTTTATACATTAAAATGTTATTACATTCGTCTCAAGGATGTCTTAAGTTATTACATTCGTCTTAAGGATAAGATCATAAAAGTAGTTTTAATTTTTTTCTTTAAAAAAGGGCAGATTTGTTTTTGATATAAAGTATACGTTAATATTAATTTTAAAGTTAAAATATTAATTTCAAACCATGTAAAGGTTATTGTGACCATGTAAAAATTGCAAAATTTAGCTCAGAAAGAGTTTGTTACCATGGTGATCGTAACTGTGGACTTATGATTTTTCAAATCAAAATAAGTATTTTCATTTCCAATCTTAAAAACAGTATACATCTTTCACTATCTAAAAATTACATTTAACGAATGCATAAAATGGCTTTCAGTCTCTGGTAATACATTAGAAACTTTTTACATATTATTTTGAGGTTGTAAATCATGCATCCAGTTTTGATGTTTAAACAATATTTCTCAGTAATAATATTAATATTCAAACAACAGAAGCAATATTTCTTAGTATGTTTTCTTAAAGTTTATTCTCTTCTTAAATACTAAATTATTCTTTCACTAGAAAGGATTCCAGCAATAACTACATATGCAGTGTCTTACGAAACAGATTACAGTACTCGGCAATTACGAAACAGATTACTATTTGAATTAACATAGTTGTTTTAACTTATTCTTTCTCAAGTATTTTTAATTTAATTTAAACATAAAAAATTTCCAATAAGCAGAAATTTGCAATATTGCAAATCAATAGTAGCTAACTTATGTATATGTATTGGAACCAATCTAAAATATGTTTGGATATTGCGGGCTATTCAGTGTATTTATTTTGCCAATATTTTGGAAAACGTTTTGAAATAATAACAACGGTTATTTTTGAAACATTCGAGTTACGTTTAAAAGCAATTCCTCAAAATGTGAATGAGAATATTACCAGAGATCATGGAAAGTTCACCAGAGTCAACTATATCCCATCAGAAATCTGCTAGTATAATGAGTATTCATACACTGTACGTTAGCGAAAATAGTTTGAAAATATAAAAGCATCGGGATCTCTGTAGTCAATAATAAGTTTTGTTAATCTTGTTGCTGACCGTAATAAAAAACCTCGATAACCAGCATGCGGTCGGCGGCCCACAAGATGGTCTGTTGTAAACGTTGAGTTTTATTTTATGCTTATATTAACCACCTCACTGTTTTTCCCGAGAGAGACTCGTTGATGTGAAAATTATCATCAGATGTTAGCAACGTGGCACACTCTTTGGGGTTAAATGTGGTCTAAATCCTTACCTCGAGAGACACTCCGTCATTTCGTGCTTTCCAACCCCCACATAACGCAGAAAAAAATGAAAAGAGGTTATTGATGTCTTAACTGGTCACGGTCTATTCACAGCAGGATTGTATCAAGATCGCACAAAGACATCTCTTACAAAGACAAGAAATAGAAATGCATTTCCACTCCCTTCAGCTGGTATTGCAATGGAACTACTTCTCATTTAAAAGCGTTCTTTTAGAGAATCGTCTTTATTAATTTTCAGATAAGAGACTAAGGAACACAAAAGTTTATCTCCTGGGTAGGGAGACTAGTAGGCAGTTTTCTGAAGAGGGTCTTGACAGCTGGTGAAAGGGGGGAGGGGAAATATTTCTAAGCCCAGTTTCAAAACCAAAATGTTCAACTTTGTAGGAAAAAAGAGAAGCAAATATCTGAGTTTTGTAAGACGGTGAAGTGGCTATAATATAGGTTCTCAGGTAAAAACCGAAAGTTATTTTAGTTGAAACTATTCGATTTATTTTGATTCCCACAGAAATAAAATTTAAAAGAAACGTTTCATTTCTTTAAAACATTACCTCGGATAAAAATGAAATGCAGTCAATTTCCTAAAAGATAGAAAATTCAAGGAATATTTACAGTTCATACAATTATGCCAGTCTGCATTTGTTTCACTACTTACAACTAAAATGCTGGAAGCCTGTTATATTTTAATGCATATGTTAGCTCTGGGAACTAGATATTGTTATTGCCTACTGCAGGGAGAGTCAATCTGGTGCGATCCTGGGTGGTAGAGACTCTTGTCCATCCGCTGAATCAAGTACGTTCTCCTGCGCTCAGCTCTTTCCTATTTCCATATCTTTATAAGGCTTTGCCACTTACTTCTCTTAGGTGTTGTTCTGTGCCTATAGCGCGCATAATGGGATTATCACATCTTAACAAAGCATGAGGCCAAGAAAAATTTTTCCGAGAAACGAATTTCTCCTTTCCCTACCATTGAAGGTTTCTTAGCTGAAACACTTTTAATGGAATCAATGTCCCGGCTAGCTATGCGGGGCATAAATTTTCGAGCTCTTTTAAATATAAGTAAAGTATAAATAAATGGATAAATTTAACTATATATGTGTTATATTTTACTGCGTAGTCGTCATGGTTGAGGGTGAAGGCATACAGACGAAGCTAACAAAACTGAATTTTAAGAATCACCATCTGATTTTTACACAAATTAAATCATTTCTTTGGCAGACAAGTTACTTTTCAATCAAGGAATTTAATTGAATACAATAATTTTTTATGTACGCAGGTTTTAAAAGTACTACGTAAGCATCTTAGACAGGAAAGCATAAACAGCGCGGACATGTTTGCATGCAGAAGTCATGAAAAGGAATGACGTAAATGACGCGAAGCAGTATTTATACTACATCGGTGCATAAGTACAGCTAAGGTGTGATTGGTTTGTTTTAGGTTTTTGTTCCCTTTTTCAAGCAGCGTTATGTAACATGGAAAGATCTCGAATTTGGGAGAACCGATGAACTTAGGGGAAGAACATAAAATCTGGAATAGTCAATTTTGAGGTTGCCAGTCATTTCTTAGGGTAGCCATTGTATTTTATTATATCATACAAGTATATTTACTAAGCCTCTAATCAAAAAATTACTTTGCATTTGCGCTAAACTAAGTTTCTGTGAAACCGGATCTAAGTGAAACCGGAGCGCGGTAAGGAAATTCTACCACCTACAAAGGTATAAAAGGGTTGACTATCCCTGGGTCTAGCGAATGGCCTTAATTTCGAAACAGGAAATATATCCTAGTACATTTTACATCATAGAAAAGGTTTATAATAATTGTTGTAAAATGTTATAGGATCTAACTCTCTTTGGCCACGTAAACTAATTTAGATCCTACTAATGAACCTGGTGACTTCTCGCACAGGCGTGAAATAATACCAACACAGAAGAAGGGTGAAAATAATCCTTTATTATTTTCAACTATGAATAGAAAGGCACGTATTTCATGCTTTACAATAATAACACCGACAACTTGCGGTAGAACTTAAGCGTTGTTTCATAAATCAATTCAAAGTATAAAAAAAGAGTAGTGCTGGAACAAGCACTTTAAGTTACGGCTTAACTCGACAACCTACCAGACGTGATAATTATCCAAATGGCCAAAGGGCGTAACAGCAAGGTCAGGAAGGAAACGTGCGCTGGCTAGGGAAAACACGCTCTGAATAAACTTCAAGATCCACTCGTTTAAATGCTCACTTAACCTTAAATTTACATCCCGGCGAGGAAATGCGAGGAGAAGTTGAGGAGTTCAGGAAAGAAAACAAAAATTTGAATAATAGATTAGTTGAACTAAGAGAAACCCTACAATATAATTAGAATAAATATATGTTCTTTAGTTTAATAATAAACGAAAATGCTAAAATCGAAAATAAATTTTAACATAAATGATCGAAATACACTTTATGAATCAGCACACATACTATGCTTAGCATGCGCACTTTTTAATACATACTTGAGATAATAAAAAAAGCCGATGGATTTTATTTAAATAATGTTAAACTGCCTTGACATTATAATCTAGGATCACAATAACAATGCTCTAAACTGGTCACATGCCCCTAAAATAGGATAGGCCTTTTAAAACGCAAAAACCGATCAAGCCAAAAGATATACGATCACTCCGATGTAAATGAACTGGCAAAGAAAAGAAACTAAGCGATACCGCTATTCAAATAAAGTCATCTTCCCCTTTTTAACCCAATAAAATTTACAGCATGAGATTTCATGAGAGCCACAGCAACTAGGAATTCATCTAATGTCAATGCAATATCATCTAATGTCTAATAATCGATAAACAAATTACTGACGTCAGTAATGATTGTGAAAACAAATTGATAAAACCTTTAAATAATGTTTACGCAAGTTTATCTTATCTGACTCATTCGGATATTAGCTATAATATATTTAAAATGTGACACCTCCTTGAACTCTTTCCATCAAAAATGTATCTCTTTCTTAAACAACTTTTTCTTGATAAGCTATTTAGATAACGAAGTAAGGGTAAAAGATAACGATGTATATAAAAGAAAATACGAATTTACAATCTGGAATTTTATCCAAATCGAGTGAAAAGATAGATGAAGGAATATTCGTTTCTTTCAGATTAATTAAAACTGGCAAACTTTATGAACTTGTACAAATTTAAGGATTAAATATGATGTACACCAAGTACATTTTTCTTATCCTATTTTATAACAACCAACCTAATTCGTGTGGAAATTGTTGTTGATAATTATTGTGTAGTTAATTTATAATGATTTTTTAAGGTTAACACTGTTTGCACTTTGCGGAAATGGCTTTTTTGCTTCAAATCTACGAACGAGACCTTGCCAGTTTTAAACTTTTGTCCCCAAATCTTTCAAGCGTCACAAACAGAGACTATCTGAGAATAAAATAAAACAGAGAATAATTTTCCTTTAGGCTTTGAAAGAAGGGAAATCTTGTGCCTGGCTCTGATCTTTTGTTTAAACCACTAATACAACTTTCTTCTCTTCAAACACAAGACTATTTCGCTTTCTTACCGTTCGCGTTTTCACTAGAGGAGGTTTTTAATTTCTTTCAAAAAAACCTTTTTTTGCGTTCATAACTGCAGTAGCCGTTGGCAACAACAACATATTAAAGTATCTGATGTGGATACCGCATGACTTCCTTTTGCGGCCTATTAAATTATACACATTTATTGTTGCATTTCATTTAAACTTATTTCCTCGAATTTCATTAGAGATATTATGAGGTCTTTCTCCCGTCTTCTTCGCGAGCCTTCGTGGTGTGGTTGGTGGTCTGCACGTTGGGCCGGTATTCCGGAGGTCCGTGGTTTGAATCCCGGCGAAGGCGATTGCTCAGTTTTCATCTTGCCTGCGTCAAAAATACCTAATATCTCTACAATATATTTCTCATTCAGCTATTTCAGTTCTCGCGGCAAGGCGAAAATACATAAAAACTCAAAATACCTTCATTAAAAATTGTAAAATACAGAAAAACATAAAACACCAAATACATTTAGAAAAACAATTTTTGCATTTCAAATTAAAGCTTCTACGGAAAAACAAGCATTTTCGGCAGCGGGCTAAAAGACAGATTTTTCGGAGCACAAAACTGAAAATTAACTTTCGGTCTCACTCTGCGAAAAGACACTGAAGTTGGTGCAGAAATTTAATTCACTATTTATTCTATTAAGAGTTTCAAATGTAAACAAATGGCGGCTCCTTTAGGAGCACTTAAACAACATTTAAATTCTTGATAATTCTACAACTATCGTATGCAGATTAACTAAAGGTTAAAAACCTTGATAAAATCCTAGTATATGCTATGGCCTTAGCGTTGAAAATTGTCGGGAATACCAAAATGACTCGTTTACTGCTCATCAGCTCATCATAAATACCGCATTCACTGCTCATTACAATGTCGTCAAAAGTCGCCAAATCCCGTGTGTACCGTATACTAAGATTAATCCAAAAGCTTAATCGGAGCATAAGAACAACATACTTGATTCATTTTTTAAAGTAAAAAAGCACAGTTTACTTAACATATAAGTAAAAAAACTGAGCTCACCGACCGGGTAACAGAGTAGGTATATATATATATGCTTTTGTGGGGACGACTGTAACCAAAAAGAGAGGTGCATAACTACATGTTATAGCAGTCTCATATACAAAATTTCAACGTTCTGAAGACTACTCAATTTTGAGTTATGCGAGATACACACATACGTCACGAATAAAATCTCTTCTGAATCCATTTTACAATCCGTTTTGGAAAAAAGTCGAGCGCTGTAGAATAGAAGAAATCGGCTCAGTGCCAAGACTAAATAAAAAGGGATTTGAACATCGATACAGAATGTTTTCAGTGTAATAGCAGGAAATTAATGGCGTTACTAGACTTTCTACATGGACTATTTTCAGTTGTTCAAGAAGATTAACATCTCATGGCCGCACCGCTTCAATAACACTTAGTAATTTTTACATAGGTTGTTAATAATTTCAGAGGTGTCAACAGCAACTCGAGTAATTGTACAAAGGCAAACCATGTATTATAAGGCTTTTGAAGTTAAAGTTAGCCTTTAGCTTAGACGATCTATGGTTTACCAACTATGCAGCCAGCCCTTTCGCCTGAGTTCGTACCTAAGGCGAACTAGTGTCTGTTAGTGGTCTAAGTCCTACGGCCATTGGTGGGGCAGAGAAGTATAGTTTATTGACTGCGTAGTTCAACATGGTTTATAAATCCACAGCGGTGTGCTTTGATAAGTTCTGCGGATAGATAACATTAAAAGCAAATTATGGGTTTCAAGACTGCATGTTTTCATATTTTTCCGAAGCCATACGGAAATCCTTTGCTGTCCAGAATGTCGTCGTTTTATTGTTTAGGATTCAAATGTGACATTTGAGTTCTAATTAACTAATAAACTAACCATAAATAATTTTGCACAGAATCATTATTTCGTACAAATTGAGCTTGCAGATAGACTCTTTACCTTTTCTCGTTTTGAATTTAAGTTCCTTGTTACTTTCAAAGAATTTGAAATTGAATCAATTTGTTTCCGTGTTCCATAAAAAGACTGCTTTGTAGGCAACTGTTAACAAGTGTGTAGTGATAAAAAGTTAAACCACTGCGTATCACTCCATGCATTTGAAAAGACATATCTGATTGCAGCTCCCTTAAAGTTTAGAATACAGTCTTTTATATAACATTAAAAAAAGCTTCTGATCCTTATTTTCTTTTACGGACAAAAGTGTTGAACTTGATTAGACTTCAGTTGAACTTGATTGGAAATTAATTGTACAGAGCAAAGATATTTAAGAATACATCAGCCAATCAGATATCTAAAATTAAGCCTAGACGATACTTGGGATTCTTTGGGAAGTGGATTGTAAACTCCTCAGTACTACCCCAAATATCTGTTGTTGCTGTTGCTAATGCTTACTTGTCTGACCTATAGTCAGCCCAAGCCCATGAAATGCCTCGTGGCAAAGAGCGCAAGTTTATGCCTGCCGTTGGCAACAGCCTTGACAGTACCCTCAGTTCCGCCACCAATTTTGAGAGAGAGCTTCCCGAGGGGGGGAGCTCCCGGTCCGAGGGTCTTCCACCCCTCTTCCCTACTACCAACCTCCCGAGAGGACTTTCGACATATTTAAGAGTGCCCCAATGCCGTACGGGCACTATACATTTACAGACATCTATGCCTTCTGAACCCGGGCCCTTCGGCACGGTAGTCAGCGACGCTAACCCCTATACTGGTTGGACGGCTCCCAGATATCTTTATGACGTAAGAAATGGATAGCAAAGAACTCCAATTTCTTTCCTTTCTTTAAAGTGTTATGAATTTTAACACCGTCATTATTCATTTGCTAATTTAGTTATAATTACTTCATGTTTAATTAAAACTCATCTGACTCGTGTCACACTTTGACGAAAATATTAATTTTTTTATCGATATTGAAGTGGTGGTTCTGATATTGAAGTTTCTGCTTCTATTGCACTTTTAGTTCATATCTCTTAATTTTATCAAAATTACAACCCTTTAAATGCTGATTTCTTTGTTTCTATAATTACATCCTTGAATATAATTGCCGATAATAAAATTTCATTATTTGATTTACATAATTCTTTTTTTCATCTGGCTTTCTTTTTCCAGGCACCTTTGCTTTTCTTTTTTGTCAGTTTTAAATGTCTGGAAATAACATTTTTTAATTAATTAAATTATTTATGAAATTAATTTCTTTCCTTTCTGATTTTAGCCCGATAAAGGACGATTCTTGCACTTCGATCACATTACTTTCTGGGTTGGAAATGCTAAACAAGTGAGTAATTGTAATTTTTTATTTACTTAAAAAGTCACAAGTGAGTTTAGGTCTGTCAAAATTCAGTTCAGTAATTTGATTTAATTCTGTATAATAATTTTGGCCAAAAATTCGCTTTTAATTATAGTGAAATAACAAAAAACGATACCAGACGATTTTAGTTTTATGAGAATGTGATGAGTGAGAATTTATTCCATACAGAAATAATATTCAATACCAATATTTATTCATATTCTCAGAAATACTGATTCCTTTGAAAGTTGTTTATCTTAGAGGGCAGATAGCCACGGTAAAATTTAAAGTATTTCGTTAGTGAGCAAACCAATAATAAGCAGAATTCGTTTCAGAAACACCGATTTAACTTTCACTAAATATTTTCATATTTTGGGGGAAAATGTATCTACAGAAAGCCTGTCTAAAAAACTTTATTTATCCTAAAATGATTATTTAATCTTTTTTTTCAAATGATTAATAACGCTGATAAATTATATAGAGTTTTTATTAATATTTTTAATGAGGCTCTTTATTGACTTTCACAGACAAAAGCCACGATTTGATCAGAGTTTTATTTAGTCTAAAATGACAAAATGCAATATACCTGTATGAATTAAGCTGTCACTAACTTTTCATTAATTAAATCCTACAATTTCCACTTGAAGCAAATGATAAAATGTATAATTAACAATGACTACATTAATTAATAACAGCGTATTGATCCACGACCTTTGTTTAAGATGAACGTCGAGGAACTTAGTGAACTATGCATCGACTTATCGCTGAGTTCAAACAACTAAGACGTAGACTCGAGAAAGGTTAAAATACCCTTTTATTCACTAAAATAAGAATAACAGGCGGCCCCCTTCTCGGGTTTACACTACTCAGGCCTTTAACTTAGAATAAGAAATAAGAAACTAAACTATAATTAACTAAACAAGACATAGGCGAAGCTAGACACAATTATCTAATGTAGTTGACCCTTAAATTAAATTAGCCGACGAATATAAATAGGCGCGTATAATACGACCGAGCGTAACAGCTTCAAGAGTGACTTAGGCTTCCTAAATTCCTCTTCTGACTCATTTGCATTCAATGCGATTCTAAAAACTCATTTTGGTAGGGAGTTGTAAGTGGAAACAAGAATTGAAAGGAAAGGCTTCCAAAGTTAAAATAACTGTTATAAAATTAAACTATACCTTACCACAGCAGTGCACAAAAGAGATATTTGCTTTCAGAGCCGACCAGACGGTATAGTGGTTAGGGAAGCTTACGTTCGATACCGAAAGACCTGGGTTCGAATCCCGAAGAAGGCATGGTTGTAACTGTCCGTCCCTTCATAGGAGGCGATGGTGGCCCACCTATTAGGTGCATCCATAATAAAGAGACCACCACGTCTGGTCCTGTATAGATTAATGGACTGTGTTACATTGTAACTATTCACAATCTGCATTGGAAAATATATATATATATATTTGCTTTTAGAAAGGAAAGTCTTTCGTGTCAAATACTTTAAAAGAACTAATCAGTCTGTTTCAGTAAGATCCGCGAAACGGCAGATGTCATAATCTTCAATGTCTCGCTTCGGGTGAAACGCATTACTTGATTCGCTTTCTTTTCTTTCTTTACTGTAGAATTTTAGGATTTCCTTTCATTTAATTATTTTTTATTAAAAGTATCGAAAATAACTCAGTAAAATTAAATGGCATGTGCGAAAATATGTAGATTCCTATAATGGATAGAATGTGGACTTCCAAGTTCTACGAACTTCAATCTAAATCATCAAACGAAAAAGCTCATATTCTCTTTAAAAATTATACACCGTTAACTCCGTTTCAGAGTTAAAATTTCAACTCCATTGATACAGCGGTATTAACTATCTGAATTTTATTAAAAGCAACAAGGGATTTTTCCCTCCATAATATAGAGTGCTAATCAAAAACCATTAGATATAAATGAAATTTAAGGATATTTTGACAGTAAACACATGCGGATTTCTTTATTTTAAAATATATTATTTCTTTTACTTAACTAGAATTCAGTTTTTGGAATTTCTATCGCTAAATTTTTAAAAAGGAATTATTTCAAAATTATTTCCACCTAAAACTGCTTAAATATTAACTAACAATGTCTTGAAATTCGATATGTAGTTTCCTTCTTTTTTTCGCTTTTCAGGCAGCCTCCTATTATTGCACCAAAATGGGATTCGAACCTCTTGCCTACAAAGGTTTGGAAACAGGATCTCGAGATATTGCAGCCCATGTCGTTAAGCAGAATAAGATAATATTTGTCTTCATGTCACCATACAATCCTGGAAACAAAGGTTAGTCGCCATTTCCTTCTAAAGAAAGCACTACACCCAATTACTGTAAATGGAAATACTTTTCTAGTTACTTTACTTTCACTCCGCAATTTTCTTTTATCATTTCATGTTAATTCCAAAAAACGACAGTCAATATACTCAACAATCAGTTCTTATTAAATGTACATAGCACAACAACAACAACAAAAAAGGACAATTCTAAATATCTCCCGTTCTATTGGGCCGATTATTGAAGAAATTCAAATTGCAGTTTCCATATCTCGACAGCGGGACTTAAGATATATATTAGATTTATATATAGCATTGTTCGAACATTGGTATTCTGACACAAAATCAGACTTTTTCTGAAATGGCAGGCCAATTTTTTTTCCATATTTCGATTCTACCACTCATATTATACCTAAATATTAAATTTTGGAAAATTTGGTGTAAAATTTAAAAATTTATCTTGGCTCTTTTTTTTTTTTTTTTTTTTTTTTTTTTTTCAGTTTGCGCCAAGAATAAATTTTCAGTTTGCACATTGGCGAAACTTCTTAATTTATAGCAAACCATTTTCCTTTCCTTTTTTTCATTGTAGACGAGCGGAAAAATAAAATTTCATCGTTCATACCTTCAAATAATTTTAACAAAGTGCGTAAACCACATTCGGTGTTATTATCGCCTATAACATATATGCCAGATTTCAAAACGCGCCAATATGTTTATTCACGTATATCCTAGGACATTTTGAATAAAAAAATCTAATTTTTTGCAGGTATGCTTAGAAATATATCTGCCTTAAGATTATGGTAAAATTTTGTGGGTTATGATTCAAAATGTTTTACGAAATTTTTTTTTAAAATTATTTTAAAATATAAATTTAAGAAATAAATTATAAAAAATAGGTGAATTTCATTTGGAATGAACATAAATTTCGAAATGTGAAAGGAAGAATCAAATAAATGAATAAAAAAAGAGATTAATACAAGATACAATTAACATGGAGGATCTAAAAAATTGAGAGCTAATTTTTTAAAACTACTCGTGCGATTTTTACAAAACTTGGCAGTTTGGTATAATTTGAGTCGTAGAATCGAAATATGGAAAAAGAATTTATATGTTATTTCAGGAAAAGTCCGCTTTTGTGTCAAAATACCTATATTTAGAACAATACTATATTCAAATCTAATATATATCCTAAGTCGCGCTTTCGAGACATAAAAAACGCAAGCTGAATTTCGTCAATCGGCCCAATAGAACGGGAGATATAGAACTGTCCTCCCTTTTTTTTTCAGATGCCAGTGTCCGGAGGCCTCTAAAAGCTGCCCACGTGATTCATTAGATCGCTAGATTGTACCTTTAATGTTCTGGCATGTATTGTTCATACTAATCGTATAATTCTTACCGTGTACATATAGTATATAATAAACACGTATCTTATTTCAAAACATTATAAATATCATATCAGTTTCACTGTGTTTCTAAAATCTGAGTAACTACTTCTCCATGAAATTCCGAGTGCCCCGAATATGCGATAATTTTATCAAGTGCTTGTTGCGTAAATCTGAAACATTCAGTCTGTAGTAGAAATAATTATTTTAATTCTTGTAAAATATTACGAAATAAATTTAAAAAATTCAAAACCAGCAATTGAGAATTGTTTCCAGTGAGATCAAAAAAATGATTTCCATGATGACTTAAAAAATGATCGTTATGTGGACTGTTAGGAATATGAGTTGTAACAAATCTACGTACAGCTTTTTATATGGAGTTCACACTATATTTTTATCATTTGTGCATTTAATATTAATAAAACTGCAGATGGAATAAAAAGAAAGTTGTTGCACTTCTGTAAGTGCAGATAACAGGAGATATCCAGGCATCGAAAGCATGCGACGGTCACCGAAAAAGGATCTATGGATATTTTGGGAGATGGCTGGTAGAAGTTGGGATTAGACCTTGATTCCACTAAAGAAATATGGATATCGAACTCTGTCAACCTTCCAACACAGGCACAACTGTCTAGATTGATGCCGAATTCAATCATCCCGGAATGTATATGAGGGAAATATGTTGTCATAGCGACCTTCTCTGTTAACACTCACTAGCGCTATATACCTGCATGGAAGAGGAGTAGAAAGCTCTACCTACTCCGCATTTTTTGTCTAATGGAACCTGCGTAACCATCTTTTGAGACAGTCAGTCTCCTCTAGCTGTGCTAAGGCAACCTGGTAACCTTTTAAAGCAGTTTGCCGTTGATGTTATTCTGCCATTGACTGTCCTGGCTTTAGTGTTCGTCCTATGAAATGTTATTTATCATCCAGAACGCTCGAAGACATATTGACATGCTTTCTTAACAATTAGAAATTCAGAAATACTAGGATTTTTAATACCCTTCCATGACCACCCAGATCACAAATCCAACATCAGCAAAACACGTCTGGGTCTGGTATGGGTTGGGAAAGCAATTGACGAATTAATTAATCCCTTATGAAATTTGTTGCAGAATTTTCGCAGAAGGACATAATAATTTTTTGGTACCTTATAGCAATGGTTCCTTACTTACCGGCACCCTTAATGGCTTTTACCAGATCGCCTAGTACAGTGTTTCTCAACCGGCGGTCCGCAAACACTATTCGTTGGTCCTTCCAAATTCAGACTATACCTACCGACATTTCCCTATTCGGAATATACTTACAGTCGTTTACAACAATAAATATTAAAATCTGGCATTTGTGTATGTTATCATACATACTGCGCAAGGTATTAGCTCTCAAGCTTTCTCAGCGTGTCTGTTGTTGTCTTGTTCAATTTACGTTTATTGATTAGTATTAGGGGATTCGTGGTGCCACGAACATGTATTTGCGGGTAACGAGTGCTTATATTAAACGATACATATCAGTTTTCAGTGGACAAACATTTATTATTCTTTGATGTCCGTTGAATAATGGCAACTGTATTATTCAGTGTAATAAATAGAAGCAGTTAGAATAGTTCTATTTATTATATCAGTGTAATAAATAGAACTAACTTCTTTAAATATTTTATTAACAAAAAGGCAGAAGTTAAGGAAATGACAACGAAGTTTTTTTAACCAAATTCAATTGTTATTATGAATTCTGATTATTTCAGCTGTTGCCATTTGAGCAAAGGAAGCGACGTGAAGAGGTTGACAGGTGGCGCTTGAGTATGGTAGATCAGGGATTCTCAACGGCTTGTCCAGTGGACTGTTACTGGTCTGCTGTTTTTATATTCAATGATTTTGTGATTATTTTTTATAATTTTCTGTGATTTTTTCAAAGGTTTACTTATGATAATAACAATATTTACTTATCTTTACAGTTAAATATCATTGTAGGCAAATGGTAATAAGGATGTTTATAATTAACTTATATAAAAATTCTTGAATACCTTGCAAAGTTCTTTTTTAGGCGGGGGAACCCACCGATCTTCGAATTGTTTTCATAAATTTGGCCGGTCCTCGGGTCAAAAAAGGTCGAGAAGCAATGGTCTAGTGGAATACCGACAGTGATGCATGATTAAAAGAGAAAAAACATACGATGCTTCATAAAAAGCAAAAGTTTTAAACAAAACTGTAACTGAGAAACAAAATAAATGCACTCACAGCTAAACTGTACAAATTTTAGCCAGCGATGGATATCGAACAAAAATAGTTCATAATATTAGTCATCAAGAGTAAAATTGGATGAAAGTCACGTCATAAAGCACGTGGATCGAAGAAACAAATCCTAAAAATTTCAATCGGGATCATGAATACTCTATTTTATACCGAACATTGACTTAGATAGCGGCCAACAGAGAATTTAGAACTTATTAAAATGCAGTTTTCTTGTTGCCATTATTTTTTAATTTTTTTTTTTTTTTTTTTTTTGTCTCCAACATTTTTATCATTTGTATATCTTTAAACAATCCACACATATTCGAATTTCATAACAGCAGCTCAATTTTTTATAGGTGCATATTTATTTCAGCAAAGTATATTTTCCTTTATAAAATATGATTAAGTATGAGTAGAATTAATAATAGAAGCCTGAAATATGTGAGATAAGAAATTAGGGAAATAAAATAAATATTAGTAATATTATATCCACTTTGTAAATAAATTTTGCAACTTACGTTTATCAAATGGTTCAGTTATGCAAAGTAGAACATATAGTATATCATAACAGATCATTGCAATTTTTTTTTCAGAAATGGGAGATCACTTAGTGACACATGGTGACGGAGTAAAAGATATAGCTTTCTCCGTAGAGGACTTAGATTCCATAGTGAAGGTAATGTACTTTGTTTTAGATATGTTTTGGAATATGTAAAATCTAGAAATTGCTCTTCCGAATTATCAAATTTTCTAATGCTTATAAAATTTTACCTGCAGTCTCTAGAATTAAAAAAAAAAGATAGAATAGATTCTATAATAAAATTACACTATATATATTAACAAAGATTAGAAATCGGGGAAGTTTTTTGTGGGCAAGAGTTTCTAAATTACTTTGGTTTTCTACTCTTAATTTACTTTATTTTTAATTCTAGTCTTTACTTGCTAATTTCTCTAAATTCCACGTGTTTAGATTTCTTTTTAGTAATTCACAACATTTGGTTTTAAATTTTCCTTTAACCCTTACCTACATGGATGATGAAACACGAATTGAATAATCGAAGAGTTAGGTTTGGAGGCAACTTCCCCTTGCAGTCTGTCTCCTGCCTGCTCAACAATTATTCACTTATGCATTTTATAAATTTTTAGGATAAAAAAAATTATTGGAATTATATATTTATTCAGATTTTGATACTTGCACTTGATTTACATGTGCTCTCAGAATTTAAATGATATTGTAAATTAGTTAGTTAATCAGACTAGAAGAGAAACACGCTAATGTGACAAACAAAATCGTAAAAACAACCTTGTATTTAGCGTAAGTATAATGAAACACTCGATCGATTTCGAGGGCAGCTAAAGGTCCCTCCTCATCAGGAGAAAGAAATACCTAGAAAGAAGAAAATAAAGAAGAAGGAGTCTCAGAAACACGTGGTCCTTATCAGCACTGCATGTGGTTATAACTGGATTTTTTAATCAGAGTTGCACTGGCCGCCTACTTTTACTGAGCCAGGCTATCTGATCAAACATAAAGGACAAGAAAAATTAGCGAAGTTAAAATAGGGAACGAGGGGCAGATGCACCTTCACGCTCAAAATCTGAACTTCAAATAATGGAAAGCAACCACTGAACGGATGTTTATACCCTCTGGTAGTACCAAACGCGAGGAGATAACGCCATCTATCGACAAAAATAACTGAATTAAGATAGTAGAATTTTAAAGGCATTAGGGAGGACTGGATTGGACTTCAAATCATTAACTAAACCTGCTAAATCTTTGTGAATGTGAAAAGCCTCAAGAAAATCCAATTCACCTATGGAAGAAGCCTTTTGGATAATTTTTGCAGACCCAAAGTCAAAATTGCGGTTGGATGAAGGAGGCACTGTACGAATGTGAAAAGCCTCAAGAAAATCCAATTCACCTATGGAAGAAGCCTTTTGGATAATTTTTGCAGACCCAAAGTCAAAATTGCGGTTGGGTCTGCAAAAATTATCAGATTTTGAGCGTGAAGGTGCATTTGCCCCTCGCTCCCTATTTTAACTTCGCTAATTTTTCTTGTCCTTTATGTTTGATCAGATAGCCTGGCTCAGTAAAAGTAGGCGGCCAGTGCAACTCTGATTAAAAATCCAGTTATAACCACGTGCAGTGCTGATAAGGACCACGTGTTTCTGAGACTCTTTCTTCTTTATTTTCTTCTTTCTAGGTATTTCTTTCTCCTGATGAGGAAGGACCTTTAGCTGCCCTCGAAATCGATTGAGTATTTCATTATACTTACGCTAAATACAAGGTTGTTTTTACGATTTTGTTAGTTAGTTAATCATTTATTTGTAATTCAGTTTCATTTAAAATTTAATTAAATTTGCTTTTTACGAATAGAGAATGTTTGTTACATTCAAATTTCATTCCTTGCAGCAATGGCGCAAGAGAATTATTTAAATTTAATTTAACTTTACTATATTCTTTTGAGACTATATATATTATACACTTTCTTGCATCAAATTTGCTAGATTTTTATTTTTCCCTTATAGAGGGCTAAAGAGAGAGGAGCTAGAATTGTTCGTGATATTTGGGAAGAAAGTGATGAAGGAGGCACTGTACGATTCGCTGTGGTACAAACTGTAAGTATGTAACAATGTGGATACTTATACAAATAAAATGAAAATGTCTTACATCAAACAACACTGAATGCAAACAGCTTTCACATTTCACCTCATATATACTCATAGAATTATCCTTAGAATTACCTAACACTTTATTTTCTTAATCCAATACCTCTTTAGGTGATCTTCCCCGGGGTCCTGCTGATTAGGATATGTACTCGGCAGGGGTTTAAAATCAAAAGCCTGACGACTTCACAGTCCCCGTTGGGAGATTATTTTCGCAAATGCGAATTGGCCAGATCGAGGGGCGTTGGTAGTACGTCCACCCGTCGAGTAATTTGTCAATCCTAAGAAAAGCTCTCGTCAATCAGTCTGTAGCTGTCTGTTGCCGTAGAAACGCGCCTTGACCCATTTTACATAGGGGTGTCTTGAAGACGAATGATAACTCTTTTCCCCTCAGCCAACAGTCACCCAAAACAAAATAACAATAAAGTAACCCTTGGTTTGCCCTTATTTGAAATGTACTAGCCCTGTTGCTATAGCGACCGCCACCCGCCAGACACTATGGAGGGAGCTATTCTTCTCGTAGACAGACAGTACTACTGGCAGATATAATTTTTGACGATCAGTTAGATCTCCAGATGCATAGCCTCACCTCATCGTGGTCTCTGGTCACCGACGGTGACCCCGACTAATCAGTATTTAGCGGGGGTGGAAGGTGAACTTTTATTAAGTCTGTTAACTCAGGTTGGGCAAGCCCAGGATCTCGGCAAAAGGAATTTGGGATTATCCCCAAAGTGGCTTTTGGCTGCACTACCACCCCTTGCTTGAGAGGCTTTTGAAGTGGAATACCATTCTGCGTAAGGGCATTCATTTGCGAAATAGGTATACAAATTTGATGTGATTTTCGATAAGGTTCTAGTGTTCCTCTCTTTTATCTAAGTGTGGAGGTGTCCCTTTTATCTATGTGTGGTTCTAGGTTCCTCCACATTTAGTTAAAGTATGGAGGAACCTAGTGAATTGCTAAGCGAATAATTGCTTAAGTCCAGAAACAGAAACTTAAAACTCAAGAAGGGTCGACTGCCCTTTATTGCTCAAACTAAAGTTGTACATTCAGTCCTTTCCTCAAGACGTACAACAAAGCCTCCGCTTGGGCTTAAGCTCAAAAATATAAGAAATAAGAACTTAACTAAAACTAAAGAGATGTTTCCGAAGCTAACACAATTCTAACTAGTTGTCCCCTAAATATCGAATTAGCTAGCGAAGCTATCAAGGGCCCGTATTACGGCCGAGCGTAGTAACAGCTTAGAGAGACGTGGCCAAAAGGCTAGTCAGAAATTCTGATTCTCGCTCTCGAAGTAAGTTGAACTTCGACTTGAATACTACTCCTTCTCATTTGCATTAATCGCGATTCTAAAAACATATTCTTGTAAGGAATTTGTAAGCTGAAATTAGGAGAGATAGGAAAGGAGCTTTAAAATAACCGTTATAAACTTAAGATAAACCTTACAAGAGGATCCTTCTTCTTCCAGCATTTTCATAATACATATTAAATTTTAAGATTTTAATAAAATCATGTTAGAAATAGAAAGCATTTTTAATGAAAATTATTGATTGCTTTTAACATACTGATTTCTTTGCTCTTATATAACACATAAATAGCGGAAATAAAGTAAATAAAATTTAATTTATTATAATTACGTTCAAAGTATGCCGGTATTTCCATAAAATACAGGAAAGAAACAACTTGTAGGAGTTTACAATTGAGCAGTTTTCACTGGAAAATCACTGCAGAAAACTCTCATGTGGTTTCCCTTAAGAGAAATATCAAACATCAAAATTACAAAGAAAAAAAAATATAAAACCGGTAAAAGCAATTTTAGTTACAAGAGACGAATTTCTTATTTTAAATTTACGTTCTAAAATCGCTGGGTGATTATTTAGTAAATTATGCTAAATTGCCTGTTGTCTTTGCAGTTTGGAGATACAACGCATACTTTCGTTGAAAGAGGAAACTATAATGGACTCTTTCTACCATGTTACAAAAAGCCCATACAACGAGACATCAGCTTGGCGAAGTTGTAAGTAATGAGTTTATTTTTGCTTTACCACTGATTTAAAATTTGCTTCGAAGAAAATTAAATGCAAACAAATAACATTAAACATAACTAATGTCCTGAACTTAATCTACGCAAAACTTAATAATAAATGCTGTGGAAGATAAATCTAATAACGTTTATTTAATCAACGAATTCCGAGCATGAAAATGCTCGGAATGAGATGAGTAAAGATTGGTTTGAAATTGGATCATCGACTTTATTCTTATAACCTTCTCTTCAGACTTAACAAGGGTCGCATATTAACAAATACACAGATGAACAGATTTATTTCTGGTCACGATGCTTTCCTCACTTATTCATAAGCAATAGACTGTTCAAATCTTCATATGTGGGAAAGAGGTGATCCCAAGCATCATCTTTTTAGGCGTCCACTGACATCACAATTCCACTGTATGTGCTCAAAAATAGCATAAATACGTTATTAAAGTATGCGCTGAAAACAAATCATAGGAGAAAAAAACGTTATTACAATTATGATGTATTAAGATGCCAATTTTTTCCTTCTTTATAGATTATAGCATTAGACGTTAGATGATATGCATGGAACCCAGTAAAAATTATGCTCCAAATTCTGCATTTAACGAACCATAGATTTAATGTTATATTAATCAAGAATATTTTACACATAATTTTGATCTAAGAAAAATTATGGATTTTATGTAATTATGAATTGCTCTTAATGACAGGTTCAAGTCAAAAAGGAAACACTGAAAAGAATTAGTATTATGAAGAAAGCTCTCCTCGAAGTGATTCTGGAGATCTCTATGAGGATGCCGCATAAAATAGATTTCATCTGAAGGCAATATTTATTTGCCTATTTGCTAAAAACCTACTGTTCTCCATGCTTATTAATGATCTATATCGTATAATCTTATCTATTTAAAAATTAGAGAATTAAACAGTTAAAAAAAAGAGAACACTAAATTCCTGTTCTATGACTAGAATAAATTTATTTCTGGAAAAACGACCTTTTTTTTTTTTTTTTTTTTTTTTTTTTTTTTTTTTTACTGGAAAACTGCTATAGAGTTCCTCCCTTTGTAATTCTAAATTACTGTTGGAAGTGAAGAATCTTAAGAACTGATAAGCGAATAATCGCTTGAGTTCGTGTGACAGGAAACAAGATAGAAGGGTAAACTAGCCCTTTATTATTCCAACTAAAGTTTAACAAAACTCCGTCTTGGAGTGTACAATAAAGCCGACACTGGGGCTTGAAGTTAAAAAACTAAGAATTAAACTAAGATAATCTAATAAAGAGATATAGCCGAAGCTTTCAAGATTCTAACAGAGTTGGCCCCTTAACGCTAATCGATTTCGAAGCTATCAACGGCCTAAAGTACGGCCGAGCATAATAATAGTTTACGAGAGGGTAGCCTAAAAAGGCGGGACGCGTGCAGCCAGAATACTTGGTATCTCTCTCACTAAGCCCGAAGAATTTCGCGGTTAAGTACCGCTCTTCCTCATTATGTATTCAGACGTGATTCTAAAACTACGTTCTGGCCGGAAGTGGTAAGTTGAAGTTAAGAATCGATAGGAAAGGAAATTTAACTCAAAATTTAACTGTTAATAAAATTAACATAATCCTTACATATCAATAATCGTACTCTTTTTCCCGAAAGTTTCCATTCGATATTAATAACACTAACCTTCTAAAATTTCGAGTTGAAACTTTTATTTATTTATTTATTTTTAAGCAGGAAACGTGAAAAATATGTAATGCCCTTCCCAGGACTCGAACCCTGGACCTCTCGAATACGCGTCGAATAGGCTTCCAATTACATCATGAAGACATGCAGAAAGAAGAGAGAAAATACCTTATGTACTCCTTTTAAAGGGCGACTGAAGATTAGGGTACCCAGTCTGGTGGTGACGAATTATTATCCACCATCTTTTAGTTCGGGCGCCACTTGTAGAGCCATTAGAAATTTTTTCAAGCAGAAGACGTGAAAAATATGCCGCCCTCGCCAGGACTCGAGCGTCGAGTACGCTTCCAATTACACCACGAAGTCATGAGGAAAGGAGGGGAAATATATCTTTTAAGTTGTAAGGTGGACCTCCATGACAGCTCGCATAAGGAATGTGATAACTCCTTATATCCTCTCCCATCTAAAAAGCAACTATGGAAAGGCACGAGACTTACTTGACCAAATATAAGTGGTAATGAGTATCCACCATATTTTAGTTAGGGCATCACTGTAGGTACTCTAATGTTATTCGCTGGAAAGAAGCATAAAATATCAACTATTCTTTGCTGGCATTCTAACAGTAGATATTTCAATTGCTAGATGCAATTATACCATGTGAATATACATCGAGAAATATGATAACTTATAAATTGTATATATGAGACTTATAAACTGTATATCTGAGAAATTATCGAATTGCTAAATACGGTAATTTCTCAGATATACAGTTTTAGGTGTATTACTTTTACGCGTTGCGAATTTACTATGCAGTTTAAAAATTTCTAGATCTCAAATTTTCCTTCTCTTAGAGCAAGAACCGTCTTCTAATCCAAAAACTAATTAATATTTTTATTAATATCATCGCAATTACTCTAAAAACTTTACTAATCGGTTTTGTTCTTTCTGCAGGCCAGCAACGGGATTAGATTTCATAGACCACTGCGTTGGTAATCAGCCCGATGACAAAATGGTTCCAGCTTCTGAATGGTAAGAATCTCTATGTAATTTACATAATTACAAAACATTGCATTCTCTAATGAATTTTTACATTTTGCTTACGTATATTACCTAAGTTTGGTTGAGAAATATGAGTCAAAATTAAATTATTTGCCATCATACATACAAAAAGGTATTAAAACTTTCTAATTTCTTATGACTTTAATAAGCGGAAACTAGACAGACTTACAAACTTCTCAGACTTTTCTAGAGAAAACTTATTAACTTCTATACCATTATCTTAGTCAGAGACATAATGTTTATCAATGTTTATCTAGTAATTGCATTTGAGAAAACATCATATTTGAGTAAAGCTATACATAACGGAATTAGAAGTACGATAAATGTTGTACTTGTGAATTAAACCTTAAAATTAGACAAAAGCAGCTACTAATAATGACAAAAGAATATAGGAATAGGCATTTATAAATGATATTATACATAGCACCGGATATTCGAAAAGTATATACTTTATAGAAAATTATATATAGACCACAATATCGTCGAAAACTATGAATAATTTAAATTAAGACGTAGGCTTTTTTATTTGGAAATGTACTTCGGATACCTAAAAACGTAAATAATGCACTATGTAAAACTTTTAGCTCTTCCAGTTTTCTGTAAGAAGTCGTTTACCGAAGTAAGTTTCATAAGTTTGTTCCCATAAATGGCACAAATTCATGCGTTGCCTGCGATGTATTTTAGAAATTGAACTCGTAGTATGTATTATCGAGTAGTTTGTAACTAGCTCTAATAACGAACTTCTAGCCGCCCAAACGGTTTAGTAATTAGGAGAGCCTACTGCGGTACCGAAAGACCCGGGTTCGAATCCCGGAGAAGGCATGGATGTTTGTAAATGTAGTGTTTTTGCGGCATGGGGCACTCTAAATATATAGCGAGCCGAAAGTCTTCTCGAGAGGTTGTTGGTAGGGAAAGAGGGAGGGAAGACCCTCGGACCCGTCCCTCCCCCCGGTTGTTCTTCATCAAAATTGGGGGCGGAAGTGAGCGAAGTCGTACTGTCGCCTGTATGATGCTCAAGGCTCTTGACAACGACAGGGACAATCTTGCTCTCCTCACCAACATATAATTTGTGGCCTTGTTCTGATGTTACTGTATATCAACGTACTTCTATAGAATCTCAAAAACTATATTTCACCATTTGAAAAACATGGGTCTCATATCTGCAAATACACTGACTACCAATAAGTATTTGGACACCTATGCAAATGAAGATATCTGCGGTCCTAAGGTACGTTACGGAATCCGCCGGTATATATCGTGTAGGAAACAGCATCGGCTTTAGTCGCATGCAAGATGACTAGCAGTTCAGAGCTCTCTGATTTCGAGAAAGGTATAATTATCGGGTATCACAAATGTGGCCGATTCTTAAGAGACAGATCTAGCGATCTGAAGTACCCAAAATCGACAGTGGCCTATGTGATTAAGAAGTGGAAGGTGAGTGGTAATTATTGGAATGTGCCCCGAGTCGGCAGACCAACGAAACTGGGAGATAGAGACCGACGAGTGCTGTCCAGAGAAATTCGGAAGAACCGCACCCAACCGATGGCCCTCATCCGCGAGGAGTTTCAACAGGCATCCGAGGGTATTGTTTCAATGAATACCATCCGTAAGGAAGCACATCTGCTTGGTTTTCATGGTCGTGCTGCTGCCCATAAGCCTTTGATCACAAAGTCCAACCGCGCTGCTAGGTTAATGTGGTGCAAAGCACATCGAAATTGGACCGTAGATCAGTGGAAACGGGTTCTTTGGAGTGACGAATGAAGGTTCACCCTTTACCGTTCGGATGGCAGGGTCTGGCGTCTACCTGGAGAACGTCTCCTGCCAGAATGCATTGTGCCAACAGTCAAGTCCGGCGGAGGTGGAATTATGGTCTGGGGGTGTTTCTCCTGGTATGGGCTGGGATCCTTGGTCCCCATTCATGGTAAGCTCAACTCCGATGCCTACTGCACTATTTTGGATGACAATGTGCTTCCTACGTTGTGACAGTTTTACGGGTTGGACCCCTGTTACTTTCAGGACTGCAATGCCAGTTGTCATGTTTCGACGTTAACCAAGGCTTGGTATGGTGCCAATGGAGTTCATCGAATGGACTAGCCTGCCCAGAGTCCAGACCTGAACCCTATCGATAACCTCTGGGACGAGTTGCATCACCGAATTCAGAGGTGCACTACCCGTGGAAAATCGGTGAAGGAACTTCTATGTCTTCTCCAAGCCGAGTGGAAGAAAATACCACTAGCTGTCATACAAAGACTTGTGGAAAGTATGCCTCGGAGGGTCCACGCTGTAATTACCTCTCGTGGAGGCTCTACCAACTATTCATTTTGAATAAAGTTAGTTTTTCTTTTCTATCACAGGTGTCCAAATACTTATTGGTAGTCAGTGTACATATAAAAGCTAAGTAATGCGTTGCGTGTATACAAAAAGAACGAAAATTAAATAAAACGTAAGTTCATAAAATCCTCAGAGTGATCTGTATATGGAATGTATGGATTCAGATTATGCATAAGTAGATCCAAAAAGCGGATTGTCGTAATGTGTATTATTAATTTCTTTTATTACTAATTCTATTGGCATATTAATGCCGAAAATGTCTCCCGTGTTTAAGAAAACAATTCACTTGTAAAAGATTCTAGCAAATATTGCGAAGTTGTCAAAGCAATTTAAAAATAAAATAATTTTCTTAAATCTTTAAAAGGAATTATGGGGAAAATAGCTATGTAGTATCTAACTCAACAAAGACTTCATCCATTCATGCATGTTTTTTTTTAATAATATGCAATAAATATCGTTTGTGCACAAATTCTAATTTAAGTGAAATGCATTAATTAAAATATTATCCTTCCCTCAGAATTTCAGATATTTACCTTTAATTTTAAAATTCATCTTTTCTTTTAATATTTTACTAATTTATGTAACCGTATGCATATTTTTTCTATTATATAGTAGTTTTTCTGGCAAGGGTATTTTTGGAATGCACATAGTGTTATTTTAAGTTTACTTCTCTTCCATTCCATTGCACAATCAAGTGGGATTCCTTCCATTCCATTCAATATTCTGCTTTTCCCACAAGAACGCAGGGCATTGGGGGTGGGGCACTTTTCTATGTGCATAAAAACGTAATTTGAAATTTTAAGCTATACTTCTACGCTTAAATGCGTAAGCTGAAAAAAAAAAAACTCTTACAACTGGATAAATTTATAGTCTCAATGTAAAGCTTTAGTAGTATAATTTTTTCGAATTTTAAGCAAGTTCTTTTTCTCGTTTATTCGAAAAAATAAATATATAATTATTCTTATAGGAATTATTTTTGAGTTACTGATATTCTACAACGTTACCTGACGACAGAGGGTTCTTTAGATTCTTACTGCATTCTTTCTTTCTTTTTTTTTTTTTTTTTGTCCTAAACCCTCGAAATAAATTATTTAATTAACTACCCCAAAATAGTATTACCATATAGCAGCACAATTTACACTGCAATATAGAATTGAAGGCCAAAAAGAAAAAACAAATTACTGGATAGAAAAATACTAATGCCTGGTTTGCAAGTTTTGAGGAAAAGCTATTTTAGTTTTAGGAAATTGTATAATCACATAGTGTACTCTCGATCATCCGGATGCGGATTATCCGTGCGTGGCGGTCCCCACGCGGGCACACTCAACGTTATGTATTAACAACGTTATGAGCGTGTAAAAAACAAGCACGCGCAAGTCCAAGCATACTTTAAAAATCGCTGAATTGCATCTTTAGGTTTAGTTTCAACGATTTCCTCGAACAATTCGTTCTGCATGTGCACAGCTGAAAGCATAGTTTCGTTCGGTCACTGAGATTTTTTGCTTTGTTTTGTACGTTCGTGTTTTGTACCTAGATTGTACGTATGTTTTTGTATGTTTTTTGTATTGTTTTGCACGTATACATACGTTTTGTACGCATATTCGTATGTAAATGTCGATCGGGAAAACATCGACGAATATTTCAATGTAGATTCGACTGACCCAAGCTTTTAATGCTTGAGTGATGTAGATATCGTTTCAAATGTTCCATGAACAGAAGAGGAGAGTGATATTGAAAATACAAACGGAGAAAGTATCGTCCCGAGACAGCAATGATTTTTGTTGAAACTCTATTGGACTTCGTCGATCAAAGTGGATTCGAATACAATAATAAAATAAAACTATTAAAAAATACACAGGAAATACGACAGGTATTTAAACGTTCTCAAATATAAAATAAAATTACTGATTTTTTTAAGAAATAAACACATACAATATGCATGAAAATTTATAGTTTTATCCGTGTTTTTTGTGTATAAGTGCCCTGCTTCCCGAGCATTAGTCCGGATAATGGGAATACATCGTATGTGTGGAAGTCAAAGAAATATTTTTTCAAGATGGTCTTTCTTTATTTATACTTGAAGAGACAATATGTTTGCTTATGTCCGATTCGCGATTTTAATGTGAAAATGCAAAAATCTCAAATATAATAATTTTGGACTCTTGATTCTTTTACTACAAAGGTACTGGATATGCCTTTTGGATTTTCTCAAGCATGCAAATAAATTCTCTCACTATTTACTTCAGATATACTGATATATAACTCTAATTGAAAAAAAAAATTAAAGTTACACTAAACTCTCTAAACGCTTTTTCAATATAGTTAAAAGTATTTTTGTATAAAAATTTAATATCCTTTGTCATTCATATACCCGTAACCATTTTATTTTTATTTATTTATTTATTTTTTCAATTTTAGGTACGAGAAGAGTTTGATGTTTCACCGTTTTTGGTCAGTAGATGACAAGCAGATACATACACAATATTCTGCTTTAAGATCTATTGTAGTGACAAATTATGAAGAAACTATCAAAATGCCTATAAATGAACCAGCTCCAGGGAAAAAGAAGTCACAAATACAGGTAATTTAAGGTGAATCATTTTATATTCCCGAAGATTTTAAACAAAACACAGGGAAAGACACAGGAAAAGATTTTTCTCAATAAATAAATAATATAAATAAATAGTTTAAAA